GATGTGTTTGGTGTTTGTGTGCGATCAGGACGAGAGGGTGATTGGAAGATACGCAGCTCCTGGAGCGTGTCCGTACTGCGGCGGAGCTGTTCAAGTGGTTGATGTAGAAAATCAATGGAGTTTCTGCTTCGTTCCTCTCTATAACAAATCAAAGCGTCGTCATCTTTGCTCCACCTGTGGTAGACGGCTCATCGTCAAATCCTGAAACCAAAACTCGCACCTCTCGAGATCTTTAGGTGTCTCCTCTCACACTTTTTTATATGTAAAAAAATAAAAGAACATGTCTTTCTCTTCTATGAGTTCTCGCTATTTGTGTTGTTAATCGATTGTGAAAATTCAGTTAATAATGGGAAACAGAGAAATGAAAGAAATCGAGATTTTTTTTTCTTAGAAATTTGGGATTTGAGAGCAGAACAATAACATCACTTGCAAAGCTTGAGTTTTTTGAAGAAAGAAGAGACTTGAGATTTGGGATAAGGCTTTGTAGCAATACACGTCGGGATATTCTCCGGTTGCTCCATCCATAGCTTATGAGAGATACCTCCTGATTTCAACTTCTCTGACAAATTCATCATCTGGGTTTCACCTTTAACCTCCAAAGTCACCTAATCCAAACAAAAAAATCGCGATTAATCCACCATTGAATTCATCCCGGTAAATCGAAAATTAGGGTTTTAGTTCACGGAGTAAACCTTGTGCATAGAATCAATGTGTTGCGGATCACAATACTGAAGCGTGACTGGATCGCCCTTGAACGACCAGATCGCCGCCACTGACGCGTGACATCCCTGAGTTACAACGCTCCCGAGTGGCCACGAATCGATCAGATCTCGTCGAAGCACAACGTACTGCACCACAACGTCGTCGGGATTCGCCGCCGCTGAGTTCTCGTCGTTACGGGAAGCATCGACGACGGAGCCGATTTCTTCAGTCTTCTGGCTCATTGAAGAAGCCGTTGTGATCCGACGGAGATGACTAAACCAGACCGTAGAATGACGCGACCT